ATTGCCATTTCCAACCACCCACTCAAGATGCTGGGATAGGTTGTCTCTAGCAGTACAAATATACTTCCATAAAGGAGAATCAGTAGCTTTTGAAATTAAAGCCCGGTTAGGATTAAGATTCCTACCATACTTGCCTAACATCACCTGCACCTAGAGGCTATTTTGATCATTCATAACCTTCCATGCTAATTTCTGCATAAATGTAGCATTTTGTCTTCTCAAGTCTAAAAAACCAAGCCCGCCACAATCCTTAGGCAGACACAATTGCTCCCAAGATACATAGTGAGCTCTTTTTTTGACATCAGAGTCCCCCCAAATAAAATTCCTTTGTAGTCTCTCAATCTCCTGGCACACATGGACAGGTAGCATACTATTTTGCATATGAAAGGAAGGTATAGCTGAGATGACACTCTTGGCAAAGGTGATCCTACCCGCCAAAGAAAGGCACTTAGATTTCCACCCTTGGAGTCTACCTTGAACTCTAGAAATCGTATCAGCATAGTGGTCTCTTTTAACTCTACCATGCCTCATCAAAGCTCCCAAATAACATCCAAGGCTGCTGACTCTTTTAAATCCACTCACAGCTGTAACAGAATTTATAGTCTCCTGAGCTGCATTCTTCGAAAAGAATATACAAGACTTTTCCACACTCACACATTGACCTGATATCAATGAAAACTTCTCCAAACAGTGAGCTATAGATTCCAACTGATCCATAGAAGCTTCAGCAAACAGAATTACATCATCTGCAAACATGAAGTGAAAGATAAGTGGACCAGCTTTACCAGCCCTCATAGGTCTCCACCTTTTAGCATCCACTTCATCCAAAATTAAATGAGTTAATTTCTCCATGCATAAGACAAATAGATAAGGGGATATTGGATCCCCTTGTCTAATCCCTTGCTGAGAACTAAAGCCAGGTGTCCTAGCACCATTACACAGAACCTCCAAACAAGGGCTAGTTACACAACCCAAAATAGCATCAATCAAATTCGCAGGGAACTTCACTTCCTCCAAAACTGACCTGATAAAACTCCAATTAAGCTTATCATAAGCTTTTTCCAAATCAATTTTAATAGAGAAGAAGCTTTTCCTACCTTTCATCTTGTGCATAGCATGAACCATTTCTTGGGCAATGATAATATTATCCTGTATTTTCCTCCTTGGAACAAAACTCACTTGATTAGGGGAAATGAGACTCCCCAAAAGAGGCTTAATCTTATTGACAAGGATTTTGCTGAGTCCCTTGTAGACAGAGTTGTAGAGGGCAATTGGCCTAAACTGTTTCATTAAACATGGCCTCTCAACCTTGGGAATAAGAGCTAGCAGGGTATGATTGATCTCCTTAATCAAATCTGGCTCTCTAAGGTACTTCTTCACACTTCTAAAAACTTGAGATTTAAGACATTCCCAATTCCTTTGGAAGAAGAGAGCAGGATAACCATCAGGTCCAGGAGCCTTCAAAGGACCTATTTGAAAAAAAAAGTTGTTCTCACTTCCTCCAAATCAACATCCAAAGACAAAGAGGCCAATTGGTCCTCCTTCAAGTCTGGCCAATGTTAAGAATGTGGCTTCCATACTCAAGAGGGGGTGAATTGAGTATTACAAAATTTTCGCAAAAGCCCCCTTCTAGTTTCTAAATAATTATTTCAAGCAAACTTTGATATGTGGAAATCTAATCAATACATTCAGACAATCCATAATATATAATATATCATAATTATAGAACTTATACTAGCACATACAAGATATCAAAGAAGAAATTAGAGTGCTAGAAATAAAGAGTTTAGAGTTTAGAGAATTGCTAACACAATATATCCTGGTTCGGTCACCACCACTTGTGACCTACGTCCAGACTGAAGCCGCTTGATCAACTCTTTCACTAATGGTCAAGCTTCACGGGTGCTTGACAAACCTTTACAATCTTCCAAGATTTCGGGTTCTTGGATACCTTTCAATCTCCAAGTTTACGAGTACTTGGTAACCTTACAATTTACTCCAAATTTACTTAGGTATTTGGCTACCTCTCAAACAATGGGTCTCACAACCCTTTCAACTCAAGAATACAAGAAGGGGAATATTAGGAAATGAATATACACTCTCAAAGTTTGGATATACAACTTGAAGCACTATGGGTATATGGATTTTCAAGATATGAGCTCAAATATATTTGATCTTTGAAAGATATGAAAGAATATGCAAATGATAGTGTAGAAGCTCTCAAATCATCCTTAATATGTCTAGGAATAGTGATCTCTACGTTTTAGGGTCATAAGGAATGTATTTATAGTGTTTCCATTGAAAACTAGTCGTTTATGACCGTTTTATGCATTCTGCCCAGTAAGTATTCGAATACTTGTCGTGTGGAATTCGAATACTTCATTTATAGCCGTTTATGGCCGTTATAGTCCTTCTTCCCAGCAAGTATTCGAATACTTTTTGTGTGGTATTCGAATACTTAATAAGGTATTTGAATAATGCATCAGGTATTCGAATACTTTATTTTCAACAAGAACACTGTTTCGTATTTTGGGCATAACTTGAGTTATACTTGTCGGATTGATGTGATCTTGGTCTCGTTGGAAAGATAAAAGAAATATCTAAACTTTTATGAAGAACACAAGATCCAAATCTATCATCTTAGATACGAAAAGTTGTATGGAAGGAAGCAGCAAAATTAAGCAACAAATTTTTGGTTCAAATGTGTTCTAGCTTGCTTCCAACCATTTTTTGTGAAAGATCTTGACTTGATAAATATGTTTTGAAGTTATAAAATATGTCAAGGATCTTTTCCTTGGATTTTTCAAATTTCTTTCAAGTATATAAAGATTATGATTATGCAATTTGAAAAACACGTTTACTTTGAGAAAAACTTTGAGCTCATTCAAAGTAATCTACCATATACCCTCACATATATTCTAAGTCCTAAAGATATATTCTAAATATGATTTTAGACTTAGCTATATGTCTTGTGTCTTGGATCCTTACTTGAACTTGATGTGTTGACTTGTTGAATATGACAATGTTTGGCACTTTGTTGGTTTTGATCATTTTTCACCATGGTTATGATATTGAGATTCTCTTAGATGTTGTCTATGGTTAGTTGTCTTTGATCTTGGTGTTGCTATTCTAATTATTTCTTGTTGTTCTTGATCCAATGATCTTGCCACTTTGATGTGACATTACTCTTCTTGTGTGACTACATCATACATCTTCAATATCCACATACGGTTGATGCTTTCTGCTCTTGATCAAAGATCTTCTCTTTTTGTTGTTGCCATTTTGTTATCATCAAAACATACCTTATATCTACAGCCAATTGTTACTAGTATGCACCCACACAGGATTAATAGCTCCATCCTTAAAGAGATTTATGAAGAAATTCCTTGCCAACTCAATTAACTCATTTTCCCTACTTATCCAATCGCCAGCCTCATCTTGGAGTTTAATAATTTTATTCCTTTTCCTTCGGATCAAGGTACTAGTATGGTAAAGTCTAGTATTTATATCTCCATCTCTAATCCAATCTCCCCTAGATTTTTGATGCCATAGTTGTTCCTCCTGATCAAGGATACCTGAAAGTTCATCCTTCAGCTTAGATTCTAACTTCTCAAGCTGCTTACTGTTATTACTGCTACTAACTTTTTGAATACCATCCAATCTAGCAATAATCCTATTTTTCTTATATTGAATGAAACCAAAAACATCTATATTCCAATCCTTAAGAGCTGGAGTAAAGGAGTTCAAATTGTCACAAAGGTTGGCAGCTTGGTTCCAATTAGCTTTAAGGAAAGGACTGAATCTAGGGTCATACTACCAGGAGGCAAGGAACCAGGAGGGCCTCTCTCTCTCTCCAATCAGTTTCTTCCTTCTCCAATCTGACAAGAATAGGACAATGGTCAGAGAATAGTCTAGGGAGGGTCAGCACATCAACATCTTCAAAGCTAGCTCTCCAAATCTCATTAGCCACAGCTCTATCAAGCCTCTTAAAAACCCTATTCAAGTGAAGGAACTTGGGCCTTCTCCAAGTAAACCTATTACCACCTCCTCCCAAATCCAACACACCACAAGCATCTAGGACATTAGTAAACTGGTTGCACCTGTTATAATCAACAATCCTTCCACCCCTCTTCTCCTCAGCACAAGTGATTTCATTAAAGTCACCAGATAGTAACCAAGGCTCCTCCATAGTCCTCCCAATATGTTTCAACTCTTCCCACAGTATTCTGCGTTTCCCTTCATGAGGACTAGCATAGACAGCCGTAAAAAAGAAGCCTTTCATATTAGAAAACTCCACCCAACAGTGAATATACTGCTCATGCTTTGAAATACAAGAAATCTTAACATCACTAGCATTCCACATGAGCCAAATGCCACCAGAAAATCCTTGAGCTTCAACTATACTATAATTAGTGAAGCCCAAACTTCTGATAATCCTAACAGCTTTATTCCCACTCACCCTAGGCTCCAAAATAACAGCCACACTAACCTTATATTTATTCCTAAATCTACTAAAAGTGCTTTTAAATTGTCTCTTGACAGCACCTCTACAATTCCATGAAAGGACATTCATCATGAATTCTGACTATGATGCAAGATTACAAAGCTCTTGCAGCTTCCATCATGACTAACACTCATACAGCTCTGACTTCCAGCAAGTCCATCAACACAACCAGTTTCATAGCTAATATTAACATCATTAACTAAATTAGCTTTTAGAGATAAGTCAACTTCCATACCTATATTAGCATCCACAAGCTTGGAAGGCTCATCCATAATTTGATCAAGAGGCTCAGGTTCCTTTTGCATGCTAGCAGCAACCATTTCCTCGACAACAAGAGCATTTGAAACATGGGAGGAATTATCATGTGTCAAACTAAGCTCCCCTGACATATTATCTTCACCCTCCAACTCATCCATCTTTTGAAAAACTGAGCTGCCTACTCCAAAGGAGATAGGTGATTCTTGTACAGATCCTTTACCTTTAACCGAAGAGGCCTTCACCACATATTTCTTGGAAGAATAAACCCCCGAACGATTTGCACCACTTTTTTAGCAGCAGATGATGCAACAGTTGCAAACAACATTCCAAGAACAGGGGACCCAGCTTTGCTACACGAGGATACATTCTCATTGTTTACCATAGGACTAGGAGAGTCACTCACAGACTGTTGGACATTAGCCCCTTTTGCATTACCCTTTTCCTTGTTAGCACCAGACTTAGGACCCATCATACTCTTTTTATTAGAGATGTCAGCACCAAAGGTTCTGTAACTTTCGGTATCATGCTTTTGATAGGATGGCTGATCTTTCTTCCTTCGATTAACAACCATCCATGGTCCTACACCTTGGGCTCCAGAATTTTCCACAAGTTGAGCAGGAGCCTCCTCCGGTTGATGCACATGAGTAGGTCTAGCAAAATCTGGACATGAGTCAGAGTTATGCTCATACCTACCACATTTGAGACAAATCAAAAAAAGTCCTTCATACTCCACCCTCTTCCTAGCACCATCCAAAACATATTCACCTCTCAAAGGCTTAGAGAGGTCAATTTCAAAACACACCCTGGCAAATCTGGCTCTGTCTACAGTAGAAGTAGTACGATCAACCTTAATTACTTTACCAATCACCGAACCAAGATGATTCAGAAATGAAAATTCGCAATATTCCTGTAGGATGCCTGGGAGTCGAATCCGTGCAGCTACTTTATGGATATTAGCTTTGTCAGGATCAAAACATGGTTCCCACTTCCTTGTGGCTAGGTAATGACCTAGGATAACCCACGGACCACCAGTAATAGCTAGGTTCATATCCTTCAGATGTAACACCTCGTGTATACCCGGTAATGTTATCATACTATCGTATTAAGCTGCGCTTAATTAAAAATGCGGAATATCTTTTTCTTTTCCAATTATAACGTCATTATACTTAGCCAAGTTGATTACTTAATCAGTTTCATAAAATATCGCCTGTATGTAAATTGCAATAAGACATCTACTGAAATACCGCCATATATAAATATAAAGTGAGTATCTAAGTCACGGCATTACATCACGTAATCCGGACAATATCCTGATACATTAATACAACTCTAATTGAAACAAGACATAACAAGTCTACGTGGCATGGACAATCCCCATGCTCACAAAATCAACAGCGTAAACGGCCAAGCCTCAACATAATAATCCAAAGTCATAAAGAAGCTAAAAGCATAAAAGCAGCATGCATATCCAGCATCCAACAAGTCAGCATATAATATCATCGATATCTGACTCAGCTCCGGCCTCCTGCCGCCTGGGGCCTCAACCCCCACATTACCTGATCCAGAAATAAGCATTCCCCAAACGTAGGGTGAGATCTCTAAACTAGAAATCTCAGTAAGACAAGGGGTCCTCAAGGATCTTCCACCTCAAGCTCACTTACATGTGCAATATAAGTTCTAAAAGCATTTAAATCAATATCAGTTCCAAAACTATACAGTGCAACAGATATTCATGCCATGTGTGTTTAAATTATTCTACTGGCCAGAGAAATGTAGGAATACGTCTATACCTACATGTAGTACAAGGAACACTGCTTGCACCTCACCCACAGCCTCACCATCTTGTATGTACCACATACTCAGGATTATCGTATAGGTGGAACACCACATGTATATCATAAAGGCACTAGCATATAACAGCTCAACAACATTTCCAAAACATCAAAAGCATGTAACACAGCATGCATATAACCATACCCCCATGGGACATGGTGGAACCACAATATGGCTAAACCGAGGACACGAAAGCTTACATTGCAAGCTCACTATACAATGCCAAGAGTCCTCACAGCTCAAGTCCAACACACAGCAGATCACAATCTGATTTAGGACCAGCAAGTATATCAACATACATAGCTCAAAAGCATTAACATAAAGGCTACGTTCTCCTTTTACTATTTACGTCTTAAGGCTTCCAACAAAGCCACAAGCCCTTAATCACATGATTCTGACTTAGTTCATTAATTACAGAAGTTCAACTTCATCAATCCAGGGTCCACAAACCCCCAATAGCCCACTGTACACACAGCATAGCTATTGTTTCACGAAATCCCAGAATATCCGGATATTCCTCGGGGACATATCCGGATATCCAATATCCGGATATCTCACTGACAATATCCAGATATCCAATATCCGGATATCCAAATCCCCATATCCGAATATCAATATCCGGATATCAATATCCGAATATTTCACGGCAAATATCCGGATATTTCGCGACAGAATGCAGTTTTTTCATTTCGCGAAGATATCCTTCAAAGGTTCCACTTTTACCAATTAAATGTGTTCAAGACTCCATTTTTAGGTCTATACAGGTTCATACATATGTTAGTTACTTGTTTAACCCATTTACATACAAAGACATCACCTTTAAAGCATAAAAACTCATGATCATGGTAAGGTAACTCACCCCAAAGCTCAACAAGCCAACAAAGGGTGCTCTTGGAGCTCACAAGACAACTTCAAGGTTCTGACTTTAACACCAAACGAAAATGCCACTCAAGCTTCTTCACAAAGGTTGACACTTTGAAGCTCACAAGCCAAGAAGAAAGCTCCAACACTACAAACCACCAACTCATCCCCTTCACAACACAGCCTCCAACACTCAGAAGCAAGGCCACCAACACCCTCCCAATGCTCACTCTCACTCACCACAAGTGTTTAGATGATGAAAAAGAAAAGAAAATGTCAAGTCTTGACACAAAATCAAGCAAGAATGACCAAGGAATGAAGGTGGCAGCATGGAGAGCTCACACACTAGCAAAGAGTCACGTAGGAGGCTGATATCCACCTAGGGTTTTGTGCAAAATGCACTTATATAGCCACTTTAAAATAATACACACAGTATTAACTTTAATTGCTACGCTTAGCATTTTAATCCCAAACTTTGGATTCTTAACCTACTCAATTTTACAAGAATTATCATATTTTTCTTATAATTTTCGGAGCACCTTTTCGGTACGCGCTTTTCATAGCCAGCATCAGTTTCTGGCACCAGTTCTCATTATTTTGACTTGAAACTCGTGTTACAAGTCCTACATATTATTCTAGTAATTATCATGCACTTATTATTATTTTCCGGGATACTTTTTAGGTACACATTTATACCGACTAGCAGAACCGGTATCTTCACTTTTCTTCCGAAAAGCGACTTTCAGCATTCTTAATCACTTATCATAATTATTAAAGCCTCTTAATAATTATTAGGATCAATTATGGAATCATTTCTTAATTTAACATAATTAATTACTTAATTTCCTTAATTAACGGTGCGGGTTCTTACACCAGACAACTGAACCTAACCGAAAAAAAATTTGTTACCTAGATCCGCAACAGTAATATTCCCAGCCTTCGCCCACATCACCTCCAGCCTCTTCTTCATAAATCCAACGCCAATCTTCCTTTCTAGCAGCTTCACAATCAACGCATTCTTCCACTTTAGACGCATTCTAGTTCTCGCCTCCTTGTTGCTTCTAATTTCAACAGAACCGTCATCCCTAACAATGGTCTGAAAGCCTCATTCAGAGATCTCACCTAGCTTAGGATCTAGGGGATCCATATCAGGATCATCTTCCTCAAATAGCCATGGAACGTTGTCGCCCGACACACCGTTCTCAACCCCTGTAACCTCTGCAAATGCCCTCGGTTTTTCATACCCTGGAGCCCCAGCCTGAAAATCCTTAATCGCTTCACGTATCACAACTTCCGGTTGAATCTCATCACCACTCTTCGTCCTCTTTGTACTCTTCCTTGACATCACCAAATACTCGATCTCACCATCTCTCGACTCTCCCATTGAAGCAAACACAGCGAAAAACAGAAAGAAAACCCTAACAGACATAAAAAAATTGCGCGAGTAGAGCCACGCGCCTAACCCATTTCTAGTTTTACGCTAACAATGTTAGTGTTAGATAAATGTTAATGTTTTGAATACCTCGTTGCTAAGAAATAAAGCAACACAAAAAGCTTTTGAATTTAAATATTTGGTTTGGTATTGTTCCACATGTTTTTTTTTTTTAAATTAAAACTTTCAAATAACGTGACATAAGTTAGTAAGTTCATAAAATCAAATAATATCTACTAGGAAAATGGTTGATTTTGTTTAATTATTTTTTAAAAAAAAATAATTTATTTTCAATCATTTTGTTTAATTATTATTTTTCTTCTTAACAGTTGGTTATTGTATACCAGAATAAAGGGTTAATGATCTGTATGAATAGAGTAAATAAAGTCGGTTATTCTTAGATTTGAACATAAGGAGAAAAGAAAAATTTATATATGGATTTTATTTGATTTAAAGAGCTAATGATTCTTAGATTTGATTTAAAATCGATTTTATAATTGATTTTGAACTTGAAAACCGATTTTGATTTCAATCCAGTTATAATTTAAAATCAATTTTAAATTAAAATTAATTCAAAACCAGTTATGAATTATAAATCAGTTCAAAAAATTAAAACTGGTTTAGTTTGAAAACCAAACTATTAAAACCGATTGAGTTCAATTTTTAATAAAAATCAAAGCAAATCGAACCGATTCATGCATGCCCGTGGTCTCAACTACCGAATTCAGAATTCAGGGTGACGCCTACAATGCTACATTTAATATTTGGAGAATGGATGCTCCAAGCCTTGAACACCATTGATTGTGTAGAAAAATAAATCACTGGGTGGTGTGAACCAACTGCAACTTTATTAACAGGTTAGTTTGGAAAATTCTGTTAAATAAATTATTTGTCTCTCAAAATATAAGAAATTCCAAAATGATCCTTAAGTTTTGCGGTCCCTTATTCTATAACACCATCCATGGAGAACTACAATGGGAACCCACTTTGAGTGCCATTCTCCATTGATGGGTCATCAAATTTTCATTTTTGCTGCGTTTAAGTGGACAAATGGCTAATTGAGTTCTTCAAATAAAAACTTGAGATAAATCTATAGCTTCAAATAATAATGAATACACAATTAGTCACCAAAAGAAAATTTCAAATCCAATATTACACGAACAAATCTTATTATTAACCATACATTGAATAGCCGTCTAAACATACATGTATTCACCACCTCGAATGGCATTTTCGGCACCTTTCCTCTCTTCTTCGGCTTCCTTTTCGCGTTCCTTCCAGCTCTCATAGGCACGATCATCAGTTTGCAGCTCATATCGACAGATTGGACAAGAATTGTGCTCATCCTGCCACATAAAGGATAAAATTGAGCACACTTAATATCAATTTATCTTGTTTCTTATAGAATGCCACAGAATCAAAAGCATAAAGTTGGTTTCAAAAGCAGAACATAAATTTCCAATAAATCTGTGGACTTAGGGACAATACCAGCCATGGCTTTAGACATGGTGGGTGGAATGTGTGCTTGCATGGCAACTCTTGCATTTTGTCATTTAAAACCAAGTTTTCTCTGCAAATTGAACACTCTGCATCTTTCCCCAGATTAGCCAGGATTTCGTCTGTGAGAGTGATGACTGGAAGTTTTGCCACAACTTCTTTACTGGCAGGAGGGGCTTTTGGAGCTACAGGATCTATATCCATCTAAACAAAAAGAAAAAATTACAGCTAGTTACCCTTAATTAAGCAGTGCAAAGTGTAACGATGGAACAGCTGCTCATGATAGGCAAAATACATATACCAATAAAAAGGGAAATTGAAAAGACCAACAATGTGACAAAGGAACTAATAAAATGAGTTGAACTGAGTAGGTTGTTTATATCTAAATACCCTTGGATGATGCATTAATATTGATGATAAATCCACTAAAGCGATGACAAGTAACACTACGTATAAGCATTTAAATAGAAGAAGCCAAATTGATATGCAGAAGAAGTATTCTATTGAATGACTCTCAAGTAGCTTGGTTTCTTTAATATAGCTTGCAGAAATGCTTGTTCACAGTCAACTAGGTGTATTCAAGTTCCAAATTTAGGGTAAATAATTTGTTAATGATCTCAAATGAACCCAGAATAGCTTGGTTTGCTTATGGTTCAAACTATGAGTAAGCCACATTATTTATATCTCTTTCTTGAAACTTGTCTATTACACAAGCTGAAACTAGAGATTCAAAGCCATATTGATATTCAAGAGCAAAAAATTGAAAATGGAGTAACCAATGGTTATCAGGAATGTATGAAAAGATTTCGGATAAATACCAGGGGCACAACTTCTTCCAATCTATTTATAAGCTCTTGAAGCACATTTGCGGCATTTTCTGGTGTTGTATCATTTGCAGCTGAACCTTGAGACGATTCAGCAGCAAATAGTGTAGCAGCTGTGCTCAAGAGGTTTGATTCCACCAACCATTGAGGCTGTGGTGGCTCTTGATCCACTGTAAGGTGCCCCTCAAAAAGATATCCTGAATTGACACAAAACACAATAAACAAAGGAAATCAAAGTTAAATGATTTCAGAACATCTGAAGGATACAACACATGAACATGACAAACCATAAATAACACCTCAAGAAAAGAAAGAAAAATTGCAATTATTCTGAAAAGGAAATCACCTCTGTTTGCATGATTCTCTACGAGTTGCGAAGCTTGTGATGGGTTGTCTCCTAGATGCAAATGTTCCCTTGCCTGGGCAATGCAAGCCTTCAAGTGTTCCTTCTCAGAAGGTTCAGAAACAAGCAACTGAGCCTGCTCAAAAAGGCCCAGTCCAGCATTCCAGAAACCCGGTGCTGTATACCTTGTCTTCAACACAGTAGCAACCCGGCATATAACCAAATAAAACTGCACCACCACCAAAACCACAGTCAATTTCTTGGCTATTAATTCGTCAACAAACAATAAAAAAAAGTTACATAAAAAAGGTTGACCTATCAAAGGTCAGGACATGACAAAGACCTCAACACAAGGGCATACAGATTACCTACCAACGAAAAATCACTTGTAGGAATCAAACTAAAGACTTTTAGAATGTGATTTTTATCAATCCAACCATTGTCTATTATCTTGATTGTTTTTGTGAGATCTAATAAAAATTAAACAAGAATAAGTATATAATCAAATTTATCTTCATATATTTCAAAAGTATACATGATGTTGATGCATACTAATTAAGTACTAAATAATTTTAGATTAATATAATATTTTAGAAATACGAATTGTATGTTACAAACTTTACAATGGTGAATTTCGAGATAAAATTATTGCATAACCAAGTAAGCTTGGCTCATGAAATATTTATTTATATTAATATATAATTACTACATACATAACCATAATTATCAATCCAAGCAAATTCAAAATCGGTTCTTTCGGACCAAACTCATAGAAACAAAGAATAATAAACCAAACCCAGAAACGTTACAAAATTAAATTGAAGAATGTACCACTAACTAGTTATATAGAGTCATAATGGGAAATTTAAATATGAAAAAAAAAATTGAATTTAGATGAGCGTACGGATTTTCTGAGAGAGGGAGAAGCTGATGGATATTTGTGTTGGAGCATGGATTTGAGAGACGAAACAGCAGCCTCAAAATTTTGCTTCTTCCCCAATTGTTTCTGCAATTCCTCCAATTCTTGTTTCACCAAATACTCTGATTCCATTCTCTTTCTCTTCCCTTTATATAACAAATTCAAATTCAAATGATTTTCAGTCAGATTCAGATGAAATCATTAAAATTCAGAAACCCTATATTCTTCTTCTTCGTCTTCTTCTTCCTTTTTTGATTTTTTATAATGGAAATCGATTTTCTTCAGCAAGGGGAAACCAAAGAGGATGATCACCTACGGACAAGCCTACCGATCCCTGAGTAAGTCACCGAATTGTTTTCAGCCACGTCATTGGCATGAAATTATCCCGAAATAATTTAAACGACACTAAATTCAGCTGTCGTTTTGGGCCGGGTCGCGCTGCACGTCATTATTACAATGCGAGATTCGATTCTACAACCTACAATCCATAGGGGTGATAATAAGGTTGGGGTCTATAAGGGCCTTAGGCCCGGCCCGTTTTGGCTCGGCTCGACTTGTCTTTTTTTATTATTAAGTCCAGATTTATATTTATGCAAAAGTCTTTTTATTTAAAAGGCCTCAGGCTTCCATAACCAAGTCCGGCCTTGAAGGCTGACCCATATACATTAAATTTATTTATTTTTTATATTTTTATATTAATCATTTCAACATCCTTTTCTCAGTTTTCTGTCTCTTCTCTATCTCTTATCCCCGTCATCGTCCCACCAACAGGTAAATGAAGTCATGTTCACCATCTATTTTTATAAGCCATGCGGATTCCACGGCTTATAATGATGCTTATGGCGGCAACCGTGGAAGAAAATTTAATGTAAAATGTGGAAGAAAATTTATTGGTAGAGTTCAAATCTAGTGTAAAAAATCTAGAATATTAAGGAATGTGGAAGAAAATTTAATGTAAAAAATCTAGAATGTGGAAGAAAATTAAGGAAAAGCAACGTAAAATAAAGTAAAGGTGCTATTGTTATTTTGATTTTTTAATATTAATGTTTTTTATTATAAAAGAAACAACTATTATTTTCTTACAAAAAAAATACTTATCAGTGCATGATTAATGGGCTAAATACTGCAACAAATTGAAAGGTAAGGTTTTTATTTTTAATATATAAACAGGCCACAGGCTTGAGACAAGCTTTTATTTTTTGTAAACGAACCAGGCCACAGGCTAATATTATATTCGTAACAGGTAACAGGCTAAGGCTAGTCTGACACGTTTAAATACAGGCTCGACTCGGCTCGGCCCGTTAAGATCAAAGCTCGGCTCGGCTCGGCTCGGCCCGTTAACACCCCTAACAATCCATTATCCGAATAAATCTTTGGTACTACTGTTGTATCAAAGATTCAGCACATTTCATTAATAAAAATATTATATATTAGCTAAAAATTTTTTTTTTTCTGTCAAATTTTTTCTCTCTTCTCTGATATGTAATGTTCTTATTGATAGAATACACTAAATCTAAATAGAGTAGTAACACCAAAGATTTATTCTTATTATCCACGAGCTGTTGCTGACTGTGACCTTCTAAATGTTTGATTCTTCTAAAGATTATTTGAAACTTTTAAAAGAATTTTACTATTCAACATGCTATTAATTAATTAATTTACTTATACTTATTCTCCCTTTACATTTTTACCGGGCTAATGGTGATTGGAGGAATTGTTATATTATAGAACACTAAAAAACTAATCCATTGGGAGCATAACACATGTCTAGGGGTGTTAATGAGCCGAGTCGAGCCGAGCTTTGATCTTAAAAGGTTAAGCTTATGATTAAATGTGTCGGCCTTACCAAGCATGTTACCTATTACGAATATAATTATCGGCCTATGGCCTGCCTTATTTATAAAAAATAAAAGTCTGCTTTGGCCTGTTAGCCTGTTAGAAAAAAATAAGACAATAAAAATTTATCCAAACAGAATATACAATCAACAACACTAGTAATTCTATAAATATTCATAAATTCAATATATATCGAAACAACATAATATAAAACAAAATCATTCAAAAAGTCTGTTTAACTAATAAAATAAGGGTGAAATGGATTGAGAAGAGAGAGAGGGTTATTACAAATAGTATAAAAAATATAAATAAAAATAAAAATTAATATACTAGGTCAGCCTGAGAGGCTCCAAGGCCGAACTTTTGAATTGGAGCCTGAGGCCTTTTAATTAAACGAGATTTTATATAAGTCCAATCCTGGTTCCAACAACCAATATTAGACATGTAAGCTTGAGCCTTCACGAGCCGAGCCAAAGGCCCCTAAAAGGCCCTTGGCTTATTTATCACCCCTACACATGTCATAATAAATCAACGTGGGTTGTCAAATTGAACTCATAATATAATACTTCTTCGTTTTAAATTATTTGTCATTTTTTGTTTAAGAATTATTTTAGGGTAATAATTATATTGGCTACCTATCTAATTTTCCCACTCTTACTATCTTTTTATTAAGGGCTTTGTATCCATTAAATTGCAAGATATAGCTATTGTCGTGTTACTGATACAATAATTACACGCCCCACTATTTTAAATAAATAAATGAAAAAAACAAAATAGTTTCACAACTTTCGAAGTGTCTGCAGATAACAGGAGGATTATTAGAAGAAAAACTATATATTCATCTTTTTGTGTGACTTACAAATTGGTATCTCTGATATATATACAAGAGAGAGAGAAAAGCAAAAAGGAATCTCCTAACAACCTGTAACAAAAATGACCAAAGAAAACGCACCACTCTGCACTAAAGGTGTGGTTTGTTATAACAGGAAAAGTAAGATAAGAATGAACTAATTTTCTTAACAAATATTAACCTACTAATCACAATCTTAACATTCCCCCTCAAGATGGAGAGTGTATGTTCAACACTCCCATCTTGTTAAGCAATGTTAGAAACTGTCCCGGGAATAATGGTTTGGTAAGCAAATCTGCTTGCTGTAGTTGGGAGGAAATATACATCACTTTCACCTCTCCTTTAGACACCTTTTCTCTGACTAAGTGACAATCTATCTCTATGTGTTTTGTCCTTTCATGAAAAACTGAATTTTCTGCAATGTGTAGAGCTACTTGATTATCACAAAAAATCAAGCATGGTTCTTGATGCAGTATGCCAAAGTCAAGTAAAAGAGACCGTAGCCAAATCAATTCACATGTTACATTAGCCATTGCTCTATACTCTGCTTCAGCTGATGATCTAGCTACTGTTGGTTGTTTCTTTGACTTCCAACTTATCAATGAGTCTCCTAGAAAAATACAAAAACTAGTAATTGATCTTCTAGTGTCTGTGCATGATCCCCAATCTGAATCGGAAAAAGCTTTTAACTTCAATTGTCCAGAACTAGGATAAAAAATGCCTTGTCCAACTGTCCCTTTGACATACTGTAATAACCTATGAGCAGCATGAAGATGTGGTACTCGCGGATGAGCAAGAAACTGACTAAGTTTGTTTACAGCAAATGACAAATCTGGCCTAGTAATGGTCAAGTACAATAACCGTCCAATTAATCTTATGTAAACAAGTGGATCATCTAACAAGTCACCCTCCTCTTGAGACAACTTGATATTCGGTTCCATTGGAGTGGTTTTTGATTTACAACCAGTAACTCCAGCATCCCTTAAAATTTGTAATGCATATCCTCTTTGGCAGATGGAAATTCCTTTAGATGATCGTGCAACTTCCAACCCAAGGAAATACTTTAAATCACCAAGGTCCTTCAATCTAAAATGGTTGTTCAAATAGTCCTTTAGTTGTTGTACTTCAGGATGATTATTTCCAGCCACTATGATGTCATCTACATACACTAGAACAGCAAGAAAACATCCACCTTGGTTCTTAACAAAAAGAGAAGAATCTCCAATGGATTGTTTGAAACCATGAGCAATTAAAACTTGAGAAAATTTATGAAACCACTGCCTTGATGCTTGTTTGAGTCCATACAAGGACTTGTGTAACTTACAAACCATATTTGATGAAACAGGCTCCCCCTCATGGAGATAACCGAGAGGTGGAACCATGTACACTTCTTCAGTCAACTCACAATGGAGAAAGGCATTATTAATGTCTAAATGAGTAAGGGACCAGCCATGTAAGGAGGCCAAAGCAAGCAATAAACGAACAGATGTTACCTTTGCTACTGGAGAGAAAGTGTCAAAAAAATCAACTCCCTCTTGTTGATTGAAACCTTGAGCTACTAAACGAGCTTTATAACGTTCCAAGGTACCATCTGCATGCAGCTTAACTTTGTAGATCCATTTGCAACCGATGGCCTTTTTTCCATGTGGCAAAGGAACAAGTGACCAAGTGCCATTTGATTCTAAAGCAGTAATCTCCAATTGCATTGCTTGCTGCCATGAGGGAACTTTAACAGCTTCATAGAAGGAGGATGGCTCTGGATGTGAAGTGACCGAGCCAATAAAAGTTGCATAGCAGTGGAGAGTCGAGAACTTGAGAGAACGGGCTCAATAGGATGCTATGTAGAAGATGGAACAGAGTAACAATAATAATCTCTTAAATGAGAAGGAGGATGAATATCTCTAGTGGAGGTTCTGCGAGTAGCAGTGGGCTGTTCTGAAGGCAAATCAGAAATCACATCCACAGTAGGAATAGGTAAAACAGAATCATGAAACATGGTAGCAGAAAAATCAGGTAAATGCTTGAAAGGGAACTCATGCTCATGAAAAACAACATCTCTGGATATAAAGACTTTGTTGGTGGCTACATCCAACACCTTGTATGCTTTGTATCCTTGTGGGTATCCAAGAAACACACCAGGAAAGGCTCGTGGAGAAAATTTGTGACGATCACGAGGCAATGTAGATACATAACATAGACAGCCAAATGTCCGAAGATGTGAATAAGAAGGAGGCTTCCCCATCAGCACTTCAAAAGGAGATTTATTAGTCAACAATGTAGATGGAAAACGGTTGATTAAATACACAGCCGTTTGTACACAGTCTGGCCAATAACCAAGAGGTATATTTGATTGGAATTGGAGAGACCTTGCCACATTAAGCAGATGTTGATGCTTACGTTCTACCACAGCATTTTGCTGGGGTCTATCAACACAAGAATGGTAAGACACAATTCCTTTTGTTCTGAAAAAGTCAGAGAAATTAAATTCTGGAGCATTATCAGTCCGGACAGCCTTGATATTTACATGAAACTGAGTGTTAATCATAGTATGAAACTCAGGAAAACATTGTAAAACATCAGATTTGGTCCGTAAGAAATAAAGCCAAGTATATCTGCTGCAACCATCAACAATAGTTAAAAAATAACGAAAACCATCAACAGAGACATGTGAAAAAGGACCCCAAATATCCAAATGAACCAAATCAAAAGGAGAAGAACTCATGTTATTATTTGAAATGAAAGGCAAACGCTTCTGTTTTGACAAAGGGCACACATTACAAAAAGTATCTGGAATTGAAGACAAGTGCAACATATTTTGTAAAACATGTAAACGGGAAAAAAAGGGATGACCCAAACGCATGTGCCAGAGAGAAGACAACTTTGCGGATGAGACCTGTGCTATAGGACCATTGGAGACGGCATGCAGGACATACAAATTTCCTTGTCTCTCAGCCGTCCCAATCGTGTGGCCTGTGGTAAGATCCTGCAAAACACACGAAGCGGATGAAAAGGAGAGATTGAGTTTGAAGACAGACGTTAAACAACTGACAGACAAAAGATTATATTTAAAATCTGGCACATACAACACGGATGGTAAAATTAAATTGGGAGATATGCGGACAGAACCCAAACGTGGCACTGAAATAGAAGTCTCGTTGGGTAGATTGACAAAAAAATCAACAATAGGAGAAGAAGAAAGGAATTGATTGAGGTTGCAACATATATGATGTGTTGCTCCTGTATCTAAGATCCAGTCCGAAGAAGAAAACGAAGGTGACTCACCAGAAGCGGAATCCATTTGAGGTGACTCAATGAAGGTAGAAGAGGTGTGAGCTGGAGACATTGACACGGTGCTATGTGCTGGAGAAGGCGTGCCTGAAGTGTGAAGCAGTGCTAGGAGCTGTGACACTTGATTTGGGGTGAGATTTGGATTTGGGCCTATTGGGCCAGGAGAAGAAAATGGACCATCTGCTGAAACATAAGCAGTGGAGTTGTGGCCCGAATTGAAACCAGTATTCCCCTGACCAGGGTTGTTCTTCATTCTTCCCTTGAAACCAGGTGGGTATCCATGAAGGTGGAAGCACTTTTCGATGGTGTGACCTGTCATGGAACAATGAGTGCAAAAAGGACGGCGAGGTTTTCCCGGCATCTGAGTGGCATTGACAGTAGGCACAGATGAAGGATATCCAACTGAGTGATGGGAATGGATGTTTCTTTGACGTTCTTCTTGCACAACAAGTGAGAAAACTCTACCAAGAGATGGTAATGGTTCCATGAGCAAGATCTGCGCTCGTGTAGAGGAGAAGGAGTCATTAAGACCCATTAGAAATTGGAGGGAACGTTCATGTTCTCTGTACAGAGTCCAAGCCTTTAATCCACCACAAGTGCAGGAAGGCATAGGCTCAAATTCCTTCAATTCATCCCATAGTGTCTTCAATCGTGTATAATACGTGTTCACATCAAGAGCTCCTTGAGTGAGTGTAGTGATTTGGGATTTCAATTGAAAAATCCTAGGACCATTACCTTGCTGAAATCGTTCCTTGAGATCCATCCAGATCCCTGCTGCAGTGGGTATGTATAGGAGACTATCAGCAATCTCACGAGCAATGGAATTCAGTAACCATGAAGTGACCATGCTGTTGCATCGAATCCAGAAAGAGGAAAGTAAATCATCCGAGTCTGGTTGAGGAAGTGATCCATCAACGAATTGGTATTTGTTTTTAGCAGTGAGAGCCATTGACATAGCTCTGTTCCATGTGTGATAGTTTGTCCCTGTGAGAAGATGAGTGACAAGCACAAGACCTGGATGATCGGCATTGTGCAAATAGTATGGACTGTTTGTGTCCTCAACCGGATTTGTGGTGGTGGTGGTGGGTTTCGGAGGTTGCTGGCCCTTGGCCATGGCAAACAATCAGAGAAAAAATGGAAAGAACCTATATGCTCTTGATACCATATTAGAAGAAAAACTATATATTCATCTTTTTGTGTGACTTACAAATTGGTATCTCTGATATATATATATACAAGAGAGAGAGAAAAGCAAAAAGGAATCTCCTAACAACCTGTAACAAAAATGACCAAAGAAAACGCACCACTCTGCACTAAAGGTGTGGTTTGTTATAACAGAAAAAGTAAGATAAGAATGAACTAATTTTCTTAACAAATATTAACCTACTAATCACAATCTTAACAAGGATTGATTTTCCCTTTTATTAATGTTGGATTATATTTAAATTAACAGATGGAAAAGAGACAAACAAATTATTATATTTGAGACTGTTAATTTAAATCTGATCTAACGGTGATAAAAAAATAATAATGATAGAAAGATTAAAAAGATAGATAATGTAAATGTCCCCTTATTTTAGTTGATAAGTCTCAATTAATTTTATATTCTTTAATTTTCTATAAATCTCACAGTGTAGAATACGGCTTTCCACAGAATTCGATATGGATCTATGAGATCGAGTATAGAATTATGTTTACTCACTTGAAATTGAGTATCCGCCCCCCCCCAATCCTGCTAGGATTGGAAATCCTGTATTTTACATATCCATACGATTGAGTCCTTGGGTTTCTGAAATAGTGTAAAGTGATTCGAATCATTGCTATTTGACTCGGACCTATTCTAAAAAAGTCGAGTCATTTCGAATTGTTTGTTGACACGGACAAATGTGTTTTGATATGTTATTAATTCTTTTACAAAAAACTTTTTTAATATAAATTTTGAAAATTAATTTTAGTGTTGAAGAATGATAAATTTGTTAAAATATAGTTACATTTAAAGTTATTAAGATAATAAATTGTATTTGTCTATATTATAAAATTGTCACAGTAAAATAATTTAAAATTAAAAAATAAATTTATTTATAAAAATGTCATTAATCAATCTTCATAATTATAAAATTGGCACCACAAAAACAAGAAAAAAAAAATTAGAACATTCCTAGATTGTTCTTCATTATATAATCGTTGTTTTGATTTTTTTTGTTTTTTTTGAAATACAAAATTTATTTTTATATACCAATCCTTTCCAAACAAGTTTTTTTTTTAACCTAAGAAACTATTTTTCAAAAAAGTAATCAAACATGCCCTAAAATTACGTCACTTTCATCTATGGAGGACTAAAAAAAAAGTTTAATCTTTTAAAAAAAATATTAAACACTTATTTTAGTCCATGAAAGATGGATATAATATTAGTTTGGTCATTTAAATAAAATTGACATCAATTTAGTCCATCAAACCCTTTAACATAAATGACTAAATATCAATTCAGCCTCTCAATCTTATCAATGAAGAAAATTACAAATATCTCGGTCAGCAATCAATAATTCTGATTAGCTTCCGTCTCTTTTTTTCATACCAATCTCCAACTAGCTATTTTGCATGAAAAATTGTAGTACAAGTGAAAAGAAAATTTAAGCTAACAGAACACCAAAAAAAAAAAAAATGATGATAACCAAAATCAAGAAACAATGCTGGGGCATTTTACTGTCATACAGAAGCCTCAATCCTGGGCTCAAATGAAAAGGCAGACATGAACTCTATGACTTGGCCATTTATGCAACATTTTGGCAATTCAATCCACTTGTCGGTCACCAAATCACACATAATATAAGTACACAGCTCAGGGGAGTTCAAGCATATAAATATCCTATCACCAGCTCCAACACAGTTAATATCTGCCTTCTTTCCATGCCACTCATGAGACATTGCTGCAGGCATTGCTGCTAACTGTTGCCAGCATCTATTAGCCTCATCAAATTTCCACACCCTAAGACTTGTACTTTCCAAGAATTCATATAACAACACAACTACCATCTCACCATTACACTCCACAACATCAATAGAGTACTCACTAAAAACAGGTAACAACCTGGGGTACTCAAAGAAGCACTTGCATGTCAAATTGCAAGCCACTACTGTCCCTGAGGAGCTAAGAAAATAAACTATCTCTTTACCATCTTTTTTAGTAATAACTGATGAGTATTGCTTAGATGGACTTCTCTGCATGCTACTTGCCACCACATTTCCAGCCTTGCTAAGGAAGTAAACAACATTGTCATCAGTTGAATCACAATCCATGGAATTATCATCAACCTTCCTCATCAGCGCGGTCTCGTCTTCCCAACTGCCAGAGCTTGAGTGGTAGACTTTATACAAAAGATTTGGAAGTTCACCAAAGACTAATACAATCTTGTAGGAGATTTGGTCTTTGCAAGTTGTACTCATCACAATGGCATTGAGAGATTGATTCTCTGGGGCAAAATGCAATGGAGGGAGTTCACTACAAGCTCCGGTCACCGGATTGCACACAATGAAGTTTCCTGACAATTTTCTGTAGCAAACAAGGCCACCAGAGGCTGCAACAGGCATGCAACTTCTGTTGGAATCTTCATGAAGAAGACAAGGATGATTTAGTCTCTTCCAAGTGTTTTCAGAAGAGTCAAAGATAATAGATTGGTTGAGGCTGGGAGCAATCATCAAAAACCAAGGATTACGCGAAGGAATGTGTGAGCAAGCAAGCTTGAAACTCACAGAAGCAGCAGCTGATTTCCATCTTTTGCACACAGAAGTAAGGCGGAAGAATGTGGAAGTTGGTAACCATGAAAGTACCCTTTCAAAGAGATCTTCATTAAGATCATCCAGAGAAAAGCTATTGAATCCGTTTTCTGGGGACTTTCTTTTCAAACTGTGTTCCATTGACCAGAAATATGGAGAAAACAACTGCAGAAACAAGGGGAGTAAGATGTTATCAAGAAATCAATTTTTCCAATTTTTTTTTTAAAGCCTATTACAATCATTTGAGCCAATTGATGTAAATGAACACTTTCAAATTGAACCAAAAATATATCAGGAAAAAGGGTGGCCGTTAAGTAATAATCTAAAAGGTTATCTGCATGCAAAAGATCAAGATTTTCCCTTTAGTTCCCCATCCCCCTATAGTTTTGCAACAAAAAATTACAAGGCTTCTTGAATTTTGATAACCAATTAAAGCTGCAAACTTTAGAGAACTGTAAAAGAACCCAACCAACCCCACCCACCCACAAACCAAAAAAAAAAAAAAAAAACCCTTGTAGCTTAACAAGCTATCCTTAAGAAGCAAAAATGAAGCTTGGTACTTAAAATAAAAATGAATTTCCTTCTCTTCATCTCTCCCTCTACTCTTGTCTTCTCTTTCCTTCTACCCCTTTTATTAGAAACCCTCGCACCAGGAATAAAAAGAATGCTCAGATTTCCAAATAGTAAAAATAGTCACTCAAGACACATTCAATGGAAGGGAAACGAGAAAGCAGAAAGATAATGATGACACACGAACAAAATCAAAAAAGGTTAGAAATGCACCTGATAGAACTGAAGGTGCTGCTTTGTTGAGTGGATAGGAAAGCAAATGAACACAAAAGATAGATAATAAGAGCTTCTGAGGTTGGATTGTGTGTTTAAAATGGGCGTTGGAGAAGGAAATCCAAAAGAGTGAAAAAAGGGAAAGCGAGCTCAACAAGTAGGAAGTGAGGTGGGAACCTTCCTGGGGAACTTTTTTTTTGTTGGGGTTGGATGGTTGACACTAACATAAGATATGACAAAGCACACGCACACACCACACTCGAGTGGCTTAATGTTAAATTTTCGATGCAAAATATGATGTGCTTATAAATGCCATTATATAAGAGAAGTCGTTGACTCTGCTTAAAGGCTTTGGCTTTGGATTCGGGGGGGTTGCATAAAAGAAAGAGAAAGGACTACTGAGTTTCAATGTCAATTGTCAAAGGGAAGTGTTGTGTTTTATCTGTGACTTTTGTAGTTTTTAGCTGACCCTCCCAAAGCAAAAGGAAGAAGCAACCCTCTATTCTTTGTTCCTTTGGCTCCTCGTTAAGGAATCTTTTGACTTCTTTGCTCTTTGCTATACAAATACAACAACAAGTCAACGCTCAAGCCCCATCCACAAGACAAGCATTTTTTTGTTCTTTTTCCAAAAACGATTAGAGTAAATTAGTGGGGGGGGGGAAATATTGTAAAGCAAAAGCCATTAATCATGATTTTTTACTTTTCCTGCTCCTCGTGTGCTTTCAGCTCAAGCAGATGCTAACACACCCAAAAGCCATTAAGGCCCAATGCAGTGGTCTCGATTCCTCACATGATGCACCCTCGTTTAAGTTGGCCTTTCTTTTGGCCCCGCCCCCTTTTTTTTTTCTTTTTAACCAAAAGAAGGCTCCAATGAACTTCCTCTGTGGAATCTGAGACGTTACTGAGATAAATCAAGTTCACTGGCCTCTAATCCACATTTGACAATAGATGTTTGGTAAAGTTACTATTTCCTTATGCTTGTTTTAGATGGTTGTGCAATTAATAATGCTCTTTACGTATAATTTCCATATAAGAATCTCAACAACACTTACTTAACATCAAGGCCATACATTCTATAAACAAAATAAGCTTCTGAAAAATACCATTCGAGTGTAATTAGTTAATTTAACATAGATTAAAGGCATTCTCAGATTCAGGCACTTATTCCAGTTAGTCTCTAAGAACTTGAATAGACTCTTCCAATAGCCACCGAATTTATAATTCTTGTCTTTAGTGAAGTGAATATGACCTTCTGAATCCAACACAAAATAGCCTTTTCCCCAAGCTTAAATAACAGTACAAGGTATACCTATTGTTTTGCGTTTCTTCCTCGACTTTGACTATATACTTAGGGCACCAACTTTTCAAATTAGTGATAAGGACATATGCAATCAAAGTATCTTCTCGAACCAAAAGAAAAATTCTTGTTAGTGAAATCAGATTAGGGGTCACAAGTACAACTAGCAACAGTAGAGGCATGCGGCAAATTATAATTACGCTTTTCTTATATACAAAGAATGAAGAAAAATAAGGACAAAGCAGTTATATTCTATCAGTATATTTAAATTAGAGAATCCATCTAGAAATGTTACAATAAGATCCAAGGTTCCTCCAAATACTGAAACCTCAGACAAAAATCTCCCAACTCACCACATATTTTCGATGATGGGATAATCAAATGATATGAAAAAATAACAAAAATAGCTGCGCCTAAATTATTAACTTGTCAGCTGATATTTTCACTTTCTCAATTCCATTTCCTTTGCTAGAAAACAGTGTACCAGCATCATTACCGGATTTGTTTGCACGGACATACCCATTGCCATAATATGCATTATCTTTAGCTGTTATCAACTTGAAGTTAACCACATCTATATGTTCTGAATCTTCCTCTTCATTTTGATAATCCGTTGAAACAAAAGAATGCTTATCAAAGCAAGAAAGGTCATGTGGCAAACCCGGAGAAGGACCAGACCTAGCCATATCAGTATCATCTTGTTCTTCAGCGCAGCCTGAAGTCTCTTCTAAAGATCTTCCCATATCTACATCCATCAAATCTTCGACAGCTTCAGACATAGGCATATAAGACAATTCAACAGCACTACAAGAAATCTCATTTGCAATATCAGTTGACTCAACATCAATCTTGTCCATATCCTCAGAATGCTCTGTTTTGGCATATGAGTTCAATGCAGTGGAAGACTCGTATTCATGGCTAGAAACCTTCAATTCTGGACTAACATCAGATGGCAAAACATCACAACCTCTACGGCAAGTCAAAGTTTTCACATCTGAGAGGCATTCAGCTTGTTTAGTTTGGGCAGGCTCCCCTTCCACTTCGACTGTTTGCACTTCTGCTATCCCTGAAGATTCATTAGTTTGAATTTGAAGGCCTGATGGTCGGGCATTACACCTGTCCAAGATCATATCAAGCAATACTTGCCATTTCAATCAGAATGTAATTAACACAATCACAAATTAGTGATAAAAAAGCTACATGCATCTGCCCCAACTTCAAATATTGGAACCATTATTTATCAAACCTCAGGTAAAGATAGGTCATAGGTTCAAAATACCAGAGTTCTCAATAGGTGCAAACCAACTTCAAAGTTCCAAGATTTCAGATCCCAACCAGAAATCAGAGCAAATGCACTACACACCGGAATGCAAAACTAAACACTTAATCTTAGCAAACTAGTTAAAACTGAATATATCACCAAGGCCTAGGGTTCCCCATGTAAACCAAAGAAAAGGCTAAGACAGAGTGTGATGGGCCTGAGTTGGTTAGTTAGTTAATTAGGAAAGCTTCTAGAATGTTCTGAGTTAGAATAAAAGGAGTGTGTGTAGTGTGATATGTAGATATTGAGTATTTGGTGAATTGGGTTTTGGGGAAGGATCTCTAGGGAACTTTTAATGCCTAGGTTTGTTGGCTTTGAAGGGGAGTTGAGGTCTTTTGGTTTATCTTTCTGTATTTTCATCATTGTATTTCCTATATTGTTGTTAATGGAAGTGTTATTTTACTATTAATTGTTGTTATTCTTGCTGTAAATTGTTGGGTTCCATCAGAGTGCAATGAAAGATGAAGCCTAACGAGCAAAAAAGATCAGAACTGAATCTTTTTTTGGTGATGCACATAAAACCGGTTGAGTCAGTGGCCAGTTCCACTATTCAAGAGATCAGACAATCCAATCCAAGTCATGTTATGCATCAAATCACTTAATAAAGGCAAAAACACTCAAAACTGTACTGACTAGCTCCACTTGAGACCATGTTAACAGAACCAGCTATTGGGCCTTTGATCAAAATAACCAAAAGTAGACCTTTAAGACAAGGGCATTTATTTTCTTGAAAAAAATCCAAGACCATGACCAACTTAATATCAGCATAAAGATATAACCTAAGCCATCCAACAAAAGATAGGATTACTGAAAGTCCAAGCATATCTTCAACACATGGTCACAAGAATACCTGCTATACAACAGCATGTATGCATCCTTAGAAAGTACCTCCTCCAATTCCACCTTCATAACCTGAAAAGTGTAGTGCAACTCAAATGAGGATACTGAATGTTCAAGCACGATATACAGAGTACCCAACAACCAAAGTTGCATGGGGAGACAAAGAAATCTACCTTCCAATCATCAATCCAATACCAGTTTCCATGGAAATCCTTGATGTAGCAGATGTAATGACCGAAAAATGAAGCATTTAGCATATCAATATGGACTACAACAGCATATAGCTTATAGATATCAGATCCATCTCCGGCTTCACTCATGTAAGGGCTGAGATTCAAAGTCTCAGGGAAGGCTACTCTCTTGTTAAGTTTTCCAAATCTCCCACTCTGCATGTACACAATACCAACAAAAAAAAAAGAGAAATTTTTTGACAAAGTTCATAACACTAAATACATGTAAGCCTTTCAAGCTTTTATATGCTAGAAGGGGGGAAAATTAATGTGCTCAATGTAGGGTATATAATCATGATAAACTAACATAAAATTCACATCACATGAAGCACATTTTTGGACAGGGAAGTATTAGATACGATACAACTAAAATCATCTACAATAACTTAACCAGATAGTCTAGATCAAATTACTCAGACCTGAAATCTTTTCAAGGCAATTGTAAGAATATTTGGAGCACGTTTCACAGTAAGACGTTTCCATGCCTCGACATAGTCCTTGCACCTGGCAAGCAGTAGCAAAACTTGTTTAAGAAAAGGGTCTACCTGACAGCATAGTACATTATCAAAAGCAAATGTTCAAATTATATTTTTGTTGACAAAACTTACTTTCTGCCACAGAAAATTCCTTATTTATAAAATCTTTCCAAATCATGTGCCTCAGTTATCAAATAACACACCCCAAAATTTGAAGGAAAAAAAAAAAAAACCTCAAGCTTATATTTAAACAGGAAACAAAATCGATAAGAATTCTGGTATAACCAAAACCAGTAATTGAATTAAGGAAAAATCTTATTATGTTAATTTTTATGGTTAATGCTTAAGCAAAATGCATTTTGCTATTGCCATATAACTATAAAGCTACAGCCATGCATCACCTTATCTTGGTTGTTAAAATTAAGGTATATGGTCAACTTTATGCAAATGAGATACAACAGTGTTTCAAAAGCTCCCAGTACAAATTTTGAATTGATTTCTAATTTTCAAAGCACGCAATAGTATTACATTGTTACTGTTAATGGTTCACTGCTATAGAACAGCCTCGTGAACTTATTTTTCTGCCTAGAGCAAAATTGAAAAAAATCAAGGGAAGGAGAGAGACAGAAAAAGACAGAGAGAAGAAGGGGGGGGGGGGGGGGGGGGGGGGGGGGGGGGGGGGAGGGCTAACTTCCACTTCAATCCACAAAATAAAATCCTCATGTTGTCCTCTGCATTCAATTAATCAAACTACAAAAACAGTGATCATAACTAATTTTTTTTTAAAGGATGCTGACATCAATGGCAAGAAACAATATGCAATCATTGCAATGTGATAATAATAAACCTTGTTAAGGTGAAAATGTCTTTCAATAGGAAGGGTAACCTTACCCGTCACATTTATACATATTTTCCCCATGAAGCCACTCCTTGCTAGTAAACTGGTCTAGACATTCCTCCAACGAGGCAGCTTCTCCGTGAATTTCAACTGTCAAGTCCATCATATTTTCATACTGCTTTGAAATCTTATCACATTTTGTGCAAATCACCTGTTTAGTTTCGCACGAAGAAAGATTAAAAGATTAAAGACAGACAGCCACATCCATGTCACTATCAAAATTACACAAGAGGTGGAAACTGATATTCAGCCAAAAAAAATACTAGGAAGGATGAGAAACAGGTATCCTAAAATGTTCTTGCTTTCTTGCATTTGAAACATATCTCCTATTCTATTGTTTTGAAAATTAAGACCAGAAAACATTCATTCAAACAGGTTTGATTATTATTTATTATTTTTAAAAACATAAAAATGTTCTTGGAAATAAAAACCAAACAGGATATTATGTCATCCTCCAAGTCCTACCTTAATTGGTGTTCTACACCATTATGGAGTCTTACCACTTAGCCTAGACTAACATATTTAGTTCAAAGATATGAAGACAAAACACAGTAAATTCCATTTAATAATTCAATGCCAACATAATCTTTAGTCTCTCCACTTTCATTATACATGTAATCAAACAGTAGAAAAGCATCCATTCTAACAAGAAAATTTTTATTTGTTTTATTAGGTGTCTAACCTCAGATTGAATGAGGCCACCAAATATGTGTTGAATAAGGGTTGTCTCCTGAAGGTTCGGAGGGACAGCTTTTTCTCCACCGAATTCATCAAGGCAAACAGATTGCATAGCATCAATGGAAAACCTACAAAAAAAAGGTATTGGAAAAAAAAAAGCACCTTTCATATCTTATCAAACTAAATATAAGATATAAATCCTTCCAAAACAGGCAATATACAATTCACTACAAAAAGTGAAATGACAATGTTGCAAGGAAAAGCAAACCTCATGAACTCATGAGCATCCTCTTGTCTTCCATAACCCAGAGTACCACCAATATTAGGCAAACGAGAGAGAATATTCCTTGGAGAAAATGCCTGTGAACTTAGCCTTGATCTTTCAACATGATTTTCAAATTCACATAGAAAGCACCAATCATTACGACTGCCTGAAAATCCACCACCAACTAACATAAGCATGAGGAATAGGTGATAACCATCAAGAACCAAAAGGTCTGAGTTATGACATTACATTCTCTGCGGTGACCCTTCTCCAACAAGTAGGCAACAAGTGGCCTTGTGAATGAGAGACACTGAAGAACCACATTTGCAAAACAACTACAAAGATTTGAAATAAGTGTATAGTTCTTCCTGAATCCCCTAATCGCAATAAAACCCAATTGTGAAAAGGACAAACCTGTTTCCACAATTCAAGAGTCCACAAGGAGGAAATCCTGGCTTGTCCCAGTTAAAAAGTTTAACAAATTCATCGTAGGGAAAAAGAACCTGAAAAAGGCAAAATGTATAATTTGGTGTGCTGAGAAAGAAAATATAAGATTTAAACTCGTAAATACAGAATAAAAGGCACTGAGGCAAGGCGCCAGAAGGGATCAGCAACTCTTGCCGGTTGAGGCACTGCCCTTCAGTGAAGGGCATGCCCCTACGCCTTACAAATGCACCTCTAGTGCCTTACAAACGTCTTTCTAGCTCAAGGGAGGCACATTTTTAGCAAGGTAGTCAAAATCGAGATCATATCTAGAATTTTAATGGGAAGAAAAATACATAAACCATGTTATTGTAACACAGATTGTAAGATCCTACCTAGGATACAAAATTAAATTCAAATTCAGGCTTATGGATTGCTGCAGAAGAGAAGGGACATGCGAAGAGCAAAACAGAGCAAAGGCTAGGCAACGAAACCCACAGGAGAGACTAGAAGACAGTAGCGTGCACAACACAGAATCAGAAAAGGCTAATCGCAGAAATGCAGAACACCTTCAAAGACAAAGAGAATATTGCTGCAGAACACAAGCAACAGGTGGGCAGCAGAACAAAGAAGGGGCAAGAGGCACTAAACCACGGTTGAGACAAGGAGCCAGCAGTGGCTGACCATCCGAAACAGGAGCAAGCAAGATGCTGCACTCATCGATGTCAGAACCAGCAGCAGCAGAAAAGCCGAACCAGCTTGTTGTGACTTGAAACTAAAAACAGGAACAGCAGCAGCAGCACAACGGGGATGAATAGGGCTTCAGAAGGAAAGCTATCTAAGCGAAATGGGAGTTAAAAACTGGGTAAAAGACAGGTTTTTCTGTCGAGTGGGCATGGGTGTTTTGAAAACAGGTTTTTTTCAAGATAAGTAGGATCATCACGGTCGTACAATCTTGCACGACAATCCCACCAAAACATGTTCCAGAGTGTGAACGAAATTGCTGGGGCAGGGAAAACAATGTTAGTGTGATCTCATGAGAAAGATCACGATTTTGACTACCTTAATTTGAGTGCCCTATCCACAACAGATAGAAAATCTCTGAAAGCAAAGTCACCTAACTTGTTAATTGGAATGCTAAATGAGCTAAACTAGTGAGAATGTTAAGAAAATTAACTACTTGTTTGGTCGTCGGGCTGCTTAGCAACAAGTAGCTTAGGGTTTTGCAAATTAATAATCATAATATTTTATTTTTACTATCTTGAGTAATTAATTAAAGAGGGCGAGCCTGGATTAGTGATAAAGCTGCTCCTTTGTGACCGAAAGATCACGGGTTCGAATCCGGAAAATAGCCTCTTTGCAAATATGCAAGGGTAAGGCTGCGTACAAAAGATTGCCTCCACCCCTACACCCACTAGTCAGGTTTTAATGCGGAGTGATTTTTTTTTATCTTGAGTAATTAATTAATATGGAAGCTTAATGCAAAATAGCCAAGTGTATTAATCTTTTCTTTTTTCTAAAGGTAAGGAGGCTTTTCTACGCTAAGGTGTGCGCTTTTGGCATGTCGCCTCAAGCCGTTAAAACCTCATTGCCTCAAGGATGCCTTTCTCCTTTGACTACCTGGGGTAAGCAAAGCATAATGTGAATTTGACAATACTTCCATAAAAGAAAATTACATCTTTAGGTTGCTTGATTGGCCTGGACGTTCCACAACCAGGTACCAATGCAACTGAAGGCAAGCTTTTATCCCCTGCTTCAGAAGCCCTAAACCCACCATTAGTTGCCCCATTTTGAGTCAAACTTATGGCAACAGTGTCACGAACATCCTTGCAGTTCGTCTTATGCCCGGAGTTCCAATGCGACTGTTGGCATTCTCTTGAGCTGAAAAATTGCCACAAACAGGCAAACTAAATTCAGTTTTTTTTTTACCTTTCCTTTTCCTATTTAAAAAAAATAAATACGATAACTAATACCATTCCTATCAGATTAATAAAAAAAACATAAATTTGTCAATTCCATCATTAAACCCTGAATTTACATCACTTAATTAAGCCAATTAACTAAAAGCCAAAACCAATACAAGAGGGCAACATCCTATAAATTACCAAGACCTAAAAGAAACCAAAATCCCTCCATAATGATAACGATCACATTGAATTAAAAACAAAACAAAAATAGTAATAATAAAAATAAGAATAACGATCAAGAGTGGTACCAATATCGGACGGCTTTGCAGCGGGAGCACTTCTTGGTGGCGTGGGTGGCGCAGACGGCGCAAATAGGATCGTCGGCGGCGAGAACGCCGACCATTGGAGCAGTGTGAGGATGATTCTCCCCTTCGAAATTGGCGTCGACCTCAAAGTACTTGGAAGCTGTGTTCTTCACCAAGGTGTGCAACCCAACGGCAACGACGAGAATGGAGAATATCAACTGCAGGAACCAATTCAGATCCCACGATATTCCAGCGACAACAAGCATCTACGTCGATGACGATGTGCCTGCGATTCTAGGGTTTTTCATCGATTGATACAAATTACGTCCTCGAATTAGGGTTTTCTTCTTTCTCTTCCAATCTTAAACTCTCTCTCTCTATCACTGTCTGTTGCTCACTCCTCCGGTATTTCTGTTCTTCTGAACTCCAGGGACTTCCATAAATTAATATATATATATATATATATATAATACCTTAAATAAATTATGTAATATTTAATAGAATATAGCAAGGGTTTTATAATTCTCATTCAACATGAGAATTAAAATTTTCTTACATATCCTTCGATTTTCGTGCTGACATGAGTCTTACATATAATTTTTTCTAACACATGAGTCTCACATACTTTTTATCTCCACAACATGAGAATTGAATTCTCATTCAACATGAGAAAATCAAACACTTGTAACAAAGTTAACTTTATGCTATAAAGTATAATAGTCTCTTCTCTTGCTTTCTTTGGGTAATTTTTTTTCTTCACCGAATCATTGAGCAATCTTAACCCTTAAGGTTTTTTTTATTATTATTATTTAGAGCTTATGTTGTGTTCCATCATTTATAATTTTATATTTGTTTGAGGAATTCACGTTGATTTTATTTTCTATTAATTTATTGGGAAAAAATATTATACGACAATGTTTTACTTGATTTCATTAAAAATTGAATTATTAATGTGAAGAGTGCTATTACAATTATGAAGTGAAATAATTACATGTGTTATTTTTTAGGTATGATATCAAATATTTATAGTGATAGTCGCGGATTTATTTGGCATCATTTCACCTAAGCAGCATGGAATTGACGTTCAACACCAAGCACATCGATTTAGAGGAACCACACCACTAGATCCCGTACCCAATGCCTCGTGCGAGAGAGATGATTATTTATTTATTTTTTTGGAAGTTTTGTTAACCTCCACCAATCACATGATTTTTTTGTATTCTTAAATAATTATTGGAAATCAAATTTAGTAAATAAAATTTATAAATTGTCCTATCATAACTTGTTTGAAAAGGAAAATTATATTATTGGTGTGGGTCAAGTTTTGGGTCAGTGGATCATTATTAAAACAAGTCAAGTCTAAAACTGACCCAAATAAAAGTGGGTCAGTATCTAAACTCAGTTCAAAAAATATAGGTATTTATGGGTCAGGTCATGGTCAGATCAAGGACAGGGCAAGTGAACCAGTTTTTTTGCACACCCCTACATACAGGCGATATTTTGAAAAGAATAATTAATCCACTTGGTTAATGATTAATGATTGCATAATTGAAAAGAAAAAGTTAGCTTCCACATTTAATTAGCCGCGTTATTACCATTTGTATGTTAATACACCGGGTGCACACGAGGTGTTACATTACAAGTGGTATCAGAGCAGGGCCTCTCTTCCAGTACAGTGTGGTTCGAGGGCGAACCAGGCGGAAGCTGGTGGGCATGTAACATCCCAAACGCTGACGAGGGCGGAGAGTGATCGCCGGTGCAAAAAGGCATGGACAAGGAACGACTCCTGACAGGCTTCCAGCGGGGGGTTATATGCATAAATGAATAGAATCGACACCTGAAAGAGAAGGATTCCAAAGACTGTGTAGGTATGAGACTGCGCAGTTTGGGATAGCTTATAAGAATTAATTGGTACTACCTATACTAACAATATGCATCTACTTTTCGGTAGCCCAAAACGGAAGAACTCCATAATTAAGCGTGCTTGACTTGGGGCAATTCTTGGATGGGTGACCTCTTGTAAAGTGTGCGAGTGAGGAAAAAGCACACTGAAAAGTCTTGTGTTAGTATGTGGGGATAGTCATTGATTCTTGAAGCGGCCAGGCGTTACATAACTCTTGTTGTGCAGATCTATGCAGTATCTCCTCGTGTTTGATTACTCTTCACGAAATGCTCTCCTCTGCACGAACAATCTCCTTGATCCTAGCTAGTGATAGATCTTCCAGACTATCTCTCAAGAGGGATAAGATTGGTGAGTGAGCACTCTTTCACTATCACAGAGATGATTTTACCTCAGCTTCTGCAACCACAAAGTGAAGACCGGGAGGCGGATAACTATAAGCATATAATTTATGGGAAGTGTTATATTTACAAAATTTTTATTTACAAACTACATAATATATTCCCAGAAGTACACTCGGTTAGTAATGTACTTCCGAGGGTACATAGTGTAATTTTTAAAAGTTTGTAAATGAATACTTCCCCTTATTATTATTATTAATGAAGGATGGATACGATGATATCTCGCCCAAAAGTTGGACATTGTATAGATCTCTATGATCTCCTATTTCGTTGGATACGTTCGTTCCTCAACTTCGATAAGTAAAGGGTAGTGTAAGAACCCGCACCGTTAATTAAGGAATTTAATTAATTAATTATGATAAAATAGGAATTGGTTCCATAATTGACCCTAATAATTATTATGAGGCTCTAATAATTATGATAAGTGATTAAGAATGCTGAAAGTCGTTTTTCGGAAGAAAAGTGCAGATACCGGTTCTGCTAGTCGGTATAAATGCGTACCGAAAAAGTATCCCGGAAAATTATAATAAGTGCATGATAATTACTAGAATAATATATAGGACTTGTAAAACGAGTTTCAAGTCCAAATAATGAGAACTGGTGCCAGAATCTGATACTGGCTATGAAAAGCGCGTACCGGAAAAGTGCTCAGAAAAATATAAGAAAATAATGATAATTCTTGTAAAATTGAGTAGGTTAAGAATCCAAAGTTTGGGATTAAAATGCTAAGCGTAGCAATTAAATTTTATACTGTGTGATTTCATTTAAGTGGACTATATATATAGCTTTTAGGCACTAAACCCTAGATAACAAACTTACCCTATGTGAAGTCTTGAGGTGGCTGACCAGAAACTTGGTTCCTTTGTGCTCTTCCCTTGGGTGGTGAACCTGGAATCTTTCCCTTTGATTTTTCTTCCTCTTCTCTTGAGTAAACACTTGGTGGTGTGAGTGAGAGGGTAAAGGATGCTCCTTTCTGGCTTGGAGTGGCTGTGGGGTGGATTGTTGTTGCTGTCTATGGTTTGGGGGAGAGTGTGCACCTTTTCTTGGCATTTTTGGGTGTCAAGGAGCCATCTTTGAGTGCAAGAACCAAACTTGTTGCTCCATTTTCGTTTTTCCTGGAGGTTAGAACTGTGAGGAGCCTTTGAGAGCTCCAAGAGCGTCCCTCTTTTCTGTTTGAAGCTTGGGTAAGTGGTTGAACCCATGATCATGAGTTTTTATGCTTAAAAATGGAACCTTGATGCATCTAAAGGCTTAAAGATGATAACTTTACGTTGGGTAATGTCAAACACACCTAGAAATGCATGCTTAAGTGTTTATAATCGGTGAAAACCCAACCTTGGAAGGATATCTTCACGAAATGCAGTTTCTACATTCTGTCGTGAAATATCCGGATATCTGCCCGTGAAATATCCGGATATTGGATATCCGGATATGGGGATTTGGATATCCGGATATGGGAATCTGTATATCCGGATATTGCATATCCGGATATGGACAGTGAGATATCCGGATATTGCATATCCGGATATGTACCAGTGGAATATCCGGATATTCTGGGATTTCGTAGAACAGTAGCTGTGTTGTGTGTACAGTAGGCTATTGGGGGTTTGTGGACCCTAGATTGATGAAGTTGGACTTCTGTAATTAATGAACTAAGTCAAAATCATGTGATTAAGGGCTTATGGCTTTGTGTGAAGCCTTAAGACGTAAAACGTAATGAGAAGGCGTGGTCTTAATATTTATGCTTGTAGTGCATGTTTATTGATTTATTATTGGTCCATATCAGATTGTGATATGCTGTGTGTTGGACTTGAGCCGTGTGGACTCTTGGCATTGGATAGTGAGCTTGCCAGGTAAGCTTTCGTGTCCTCGGTTTAGCCATTGTTGGTTCCACCATTTCCCATGGGGGGATGGTTATATGCATGATGTGTTTTCATGTACTATTTTATTGAAATGCTATGGAGCTGTTAAGTGCAATTGTTGTATGATATTTATGTGGTGTTTGCCTTAAAGGGAAACCATGGGGTAGCCCTTTGGGGGTGGGTACAGCATGGGCTGATACAGCATGGGCTGGTACTGTGTGGGTAATAGACGTATTCCTGCATTTCTTTGATCAGTAGAATAGTTATAACCCACATGACATGATTATTTGTTGCATTGCACTATTTTGGAAATCATATTGTTAAACTGCTTTTGAACTTATATTGCACATGTAAATGAGCTTGGGGTGGAAGATCCTTAAGGACCCCTTGTCTTACTGAGATTTCTGTTAGAGATCTCACCCCACGTTTGGGGCGCTTATTTCAGGTTCAGGTAATGTTGAGACCTCAGGCGACAGGAGGCCGGAGCTGAGTCAGAATTGCTGTTATTTTATGCTGACTTGTTGGATGCTGGTTATGCATGCTGCTTTATGTTTTAGCTTCAGTTTATGATTGTATATCATCTTGTTGAGACGCTGTTGATTTGGTGAGCATGAGGATTGTCCATGACACATAGTCTTGTTTATGTCTTGTTTTATTTGGAGTTGTAATAATGTATCAGGATTATGGTCCGGACTACGAGTTGTAGATCCGTGATTTTAGATACACACTTTATTTATATATTGAGGTATATCAGTAGATGTCTTATTGCAATTTACATACAAGCGATGTTTTTATGAAAATGATTAAGTAATCAACTTGGCTAAGTATAATGACGTCATAATTGAAAAGAAAAAGATATTCCGCATTTTTAAATTAAGCGTGGCTTAATACGATGATATGTTAACAAACCGGATGCATACAGGGTGTTACAGGTAGTATCTAATGTTGGGTTTTTGTTCTTTTATTAAAGCCTAATTAGGCCTAGTGTGTAAGAATAGCCCAAGAAGCCTAGAGCCCATTCAACTTAGGGTTAGGGTTTCTTAGAACTCCTATAAATTATGGGAAAGGTTATATTACTTTTTATTTATAAATTCTTACAAACTACACTAAGTATGATCAGTCATATTTCAATCAAGAGTGTATGATCGATTATACTTAGTGTAATTTATAAAAAAAGTTTGTAAACGAATTATTTCCTGGGAAAAGTTTATTACATTTGCTATCTCTAGTTTTTGTCAATTAAGTGCAAACACTCACTTTATTTCAAATAACAGGATCTGGCGAACAAGTACTGCCGGGAAACAATACGATAGTAGCATAAAGGAAAGAAAGAAAAAACTACTAACTCCCAAAATGCATGTAGTGAAAATCATAATTTAGATATCATAATATGAGAACCATCTATGGATCATCTCATAAATCTCTTTGCGACTGTATTCTTGAGCTACGTGCCCCCCTCCCTGAAAGTAAAGGTGCATGTTCACATTTAATAAACAAGTAAGGATATAATTATGTAAGCTTCTCTGTTTTTTTTTTTATATAAAATAATATAAAATAGATGAAAAATAAAGATAAAAAAGTGGGCATAACTATTTACACAATAATGTAATTTTGATATTATTACTTAATTACTTCATACAGTTATAATTCTCGTTTAAAAGTTTATTATTATTTTGGGTTCAACATCTTCAGGGAAGCCAACAAGGTGCTCTATGGAAGAGAGAAGAAATGGATAGAAAAGAATGCAAAGTACATGACCCAAAACTCAAATTGTTACAACTGATCAAAAGGGGAAAAAATTACTTTGTAAATAATATAGACATTACCATTGGCTCTCTTTCAGATTATACACAAACCCAATCAGGTCAGAGTAAAGTGCTAAGCATGGCAACTAGGTTGGCACCCATAAGTACACCTCACTCTTTTTTATTAAAATAAAAAAACAAAATAGAAACAGATAAAACAGGAAAAATGGCAAAGTCATAACGAATATCAAAAAAGGATCAACAATGCTCTGAAAACCCTCCCACCTGACGCTCTTTCAGATTATAATATGACACAACCTTTATTTTTTTCATTTGGTGTTAGACGAGAGGTTGGCATTATACATATGTAGAAATTAAATGTAAACTTGTAATTTATGTAGCCTTCTTTTGACACAATAAAAAGATGAAATTTGAATCAACACTTAACAAATTAATTAATTATTCAAATGTGGGGCCTTTAACTCTTTAAGACTGTCTTGAAAAAAATATTTAACCTTATAATTAATGCAAAAAGTCAAAAACTGACTAATTGATACAATAATTTTACCATAAAAAAAGAAGAAAAAAAACACAAGGCTCTTGACCTCCCAACTTCAATAAAAGAGAAAACAGATAATAATAATAATAATAATAGTAGTAGTAGTAATATATAGTAGTGGAGTCACAGTAATACTAATAACAACATTAAGTTCTTTTAAAATTTTATAAGTAACTTGCCTTAACAGTGGCATATGTTAGGTGATACTCATTCTTTTTATATCTCTCTGTATACCTGTGAGCAGAAATAACAAAAAAACTGAATTAGTAAGAAAAAAATAGTCTTAATTAAGAGAGCCGTCCTCTATGTGCATTTGACATAACTCGAACTGGATTAGTTGAGTTTATGATAAATCGTGAAAAAATCCAAAAAATAAAAATAACAAAATAACAAAACATGATAATGATAATTGTAAGTTAATTAGAATTTATGAACTCATTTATCCAAAAAAAATAATAATTTATGAACTCAAAACTTCTCATGGTAGATAATTTATCATAAAATAAATTCCATAAAATTAAGTAAACTTATTCATTTAACTAACCCTGCCACTTCACCGTCAGTGAACCACGGACGCCAAGTGCTATTCAAGTTCAAATTAAGTGACTTAATTATAGAATGTGTACTAAGATAAGGTATCGACATGTCAAGATCGCCGCTGCAAAAGAACCAAAAAAGAAAATAAACAAGTAAATATTGCTTATGTATTAACCTGAAAAGTTTGAGTAAATGAATTTTGCTTATGTAAAGTGAAAACTCACATGTAAATTAGAGATCGAAGGTTTGTGCTGGTGAGATTCTGATGATATTCAACAACACTATGAACATTCTTTGTATATGTATCACTAATATTATTGCATCTTTCGAAATGTCCTTTCGTTCCCTATATGACATTTACAATTACACATGCATCACACATTTTCTTAAATACAACTTCCAATTTCCCTTTATTTATTTTTTTGGTAATTAATATCACATTAAAAGAACGTTTATTACCTCTCTAACATTGAGATTCTTTTGAACATTTGGATCATTTGCCCACAATTCAACTAATGCATTTTCTTCTTCCTAAATCAATGTTGTAACTTGTAATTAAGTTTCATTAAAATTAAAATATTTCTTTCGGAAATAGAAAGAGAGAGGGGTTTACTAATTACCTGACACCTAAATGTTGATTGGTGAATAGTTTCGAGGTTTTCAAAGAGCCTTCTTTGATTCTTGTGAGACCCTTTGATACAACTTGGTTGCATAATTTGAAACATGTTTATGTAACGGACTGACTGAGCAACGTAGTGAAGTATTAATTAGTTAATGTATTGGAAGAACATGAACAACTTCAAAGTCAGCAGCAGTAAAAGATGGCTTCTGACCTCCGAGTAGGCTTCATAATCTGACATGCAATTTGCATTGTTCGGATTAAGACTGATATAATCTCCATTACAACTAGCTTTGATTGACTGCAAAAGCGAAATATAATGGCACCTTAGTTTACATAAATATATGTTCTCCAAATATAGATCCACCTTCTTAAAAGAATTTCAAAATCGATTCATTATTAAGACAGAACACTAAAGTATTCTTAATGATCCAAAGTGCTACTAAATGAGTTGAATAATAACCTCATATAGCTCATTTGATACAAGTGTTCGTTGGTGAGCATATTGAACTCTTGTATTAATGTCCTGGTAAGAGTCAATCGATGGACTTGCAAGCACAAAACCCTAGTGCAATTCAAATACAAAATCCAAAAAAATGAGATTAAAACATTCTATAATATATATACTAGAACGGTATCCATATTATCTAACAACATAAATCATGGGCATCTTTGTGTACTTGAATGTTTAGGAGTGGTAAATTTCCTGCTTTATAACCTACAAGTCAATGACAATCATAAAATAATTTGAAGGAAAATAAAATTTCAATTTTATTGTGGAATCGCTTCATCCTAATGTAAAAATTCACAATATTCACCTTCATATACTTTTTGCACAAGGGGAGTAACAATCATGCCTGAATATGATCCACCACCTATGTAAAGTTGATTTGATCTGAATTTGGGGTGATCCACAAGCCACTTGAAAGAAGATAAAACAATAATAACTTCCAACCATCATATGCTAAGAACATGAAATACACTTGCAGCCAGAAGTTTTCTCGAAAGTAATAATTAAAAAACATGGTGAACCTTTTGTAGAAAATCATACATATGTTCCACCCATTGCTTGTCATTGCTATAATAACCTTGCTGGGTTTTTGAGTAAGAAAATCCTGTGCCAACGGGTGCATCGATATATAATATGTTGAGTACCTGGAATGGATCAGTCAAAATGAGTTATTTCTAAGAACTTGCAGGTTATTTACATGCACACGCATGAAGAGTTTTTAATAATCTTGGACGTCGCACTCGCACATGTCATACGCATATATAGATTAAGGGAAAACATTTTCCGACGCTGCATAAGAATTCAATTCTCATATTATAACCCTTCGATTTACGTGTAAAGTTTTTCTTTTTCTTTTCTTCTTTTAATAAATGTGGAATCCACCACTAGTTGAGTCACAACATGAGAATTGAATTCTCATACAACATGAGAAAATCAAACCTCATAGATTAATTGACATAAGTGTATACACTAATGTTTGACCATTGATTTCACTTAAATATGATTTTTTTAAATCAAATAATTTTATTAAAAAGAGAAAATATAAAAGTAATTAACTTTAGCAAGGAGGAAGAAAAGTAACTAACTTAATGAGGAAAAATACTTGGTATATAAGTGTGTTAAAGGTAAGTGTTAACCCTTTAATATGTAAACTTATGATTTTTTTTCACCTTTAATTTAATGGATTAAGATCCCACTGTAGTTTAAATTAAATTTAAGGATGAACAAACTGATTTTTTATTTTTTATTATTCATAATGAGTTTTTAAAGAAATGAGGGCAAGTCTTTGGAATAGCAATAAGATTGCACTTTGTGATTGGAAGGTTACAAGTTCGAGTCTGAAAACAATCTCTTTTCAATATGAAAACAATCTCTTTTCAATATGCAAAGATAAAACTACATATACAATCAACCTCCATCCCCACTATCACAAGTTTGGGAGTATTATGCACCGAGATTTAGAGTTTAGTTTTTAAAGAAATACGGAATGTATATAATTTTATACACACATGTACATATTTCCAAAAAAAAAATTCTTTCAAAATGAATTTATTGGTAAAGTGGGCACAAATATGAGTGTATTCAACCTTAATTTAATTTAAAGTTCATTGTGATGATAATTCACTAAATTAAAAGAGAAAACATCCACACCAAAAAAAAAGAGAGAGAGAAAACGTTATTATTTTTAAGCTTTAAAAATATTCTCAATTTAAAGTAACCTTATTTAAAATTTACATATTGAAAAGTTAAGACTTACATGAACACAATAACAAAATTTAATGCCGAGATTTATAAATAACGTTATTACTTAAGACTTATATTTATTGATTGCTATTAGATAATATATTAAGAACATAAAAATGCAATTATTATTTTTATGTAGTAATTAATAAGATTATTAGGAGAAACAGTTAGTTGGATTTAGAATTAATTAAATTATATATTAACTGCAAAGTGAATACCTTCGTCCAAGCATTTGGATTCAATTGAAGTTCTGGAAAACTGCCATTAACATTGTCATAATTAAACTTAAGTGGTCCTGCAAAAGATGTTAAAACAAGAAGCTTAGCTCCACCGAGTAAGGAAAATCAAGAGTATCATGAGCAACCAAGTCAGCTCAAGAATTAATACGGGCTTCCTGGACTCACGAAAATCCAAGATCAACTTACGCTTTCTATCACAGATGGGCACTCAAAACTCCAGTTTTGCTGGTGAAAAATAGAAATTACTGAAGTCTATATCCTTTAATTATGTCTCAAATTAAAATTTGTGTTTAACTTATTCAAAATATGAAACTTAAACTCAATTTATATAACTTACATATTTTTTCTTATATAAAATATCTTTTTTGTTAGTTTACTATTTAATACACATATATATTGTCATTATAGAAGATAAATTTAAATATTAAAAGAGAAAAAAAAAATCTTTAAAGTCAATGCTATGGGTTAGTGGATAATAATAAATATACGATCTTTACTTAGACTTGTAATTTATAAAATAATAAAAATAAATGAACTGTTCATATATATAGACAGAGCGAGAGAGAGATATTCAATGATAAAATATTACTATTTAAGATAACAAAAGATATGGATAGTAATAATTTATGTATTACTATTACTTTGTCACTTAATTAGTAAATTATACTTTTATTTAAAGAATTGTAATTTTATTTATTTTTATCTATTATGTTTTTAATAATATTTTTCAATCCATCTCTTACTCTTTTTCTATTGTTATATGATATTCTTACATAAAAACATGTACTATATATTAAGTTGATAAACATATAGAAAATACTTAAACGAGAAATTTGATAAGTCATCCTCAATTCATATTCAACCTAATAGGAACCTTGGTTTCCTAGGATGACTGTATTGACACAAATTAAATGATATCTAAACATTGCAATGGCTTTTGTAAGCAATATTTGCAGCGAGAATAATTTTATATATCGCAATATTTATTGCTCACAGAAGAAATATTAAATTTTTTGTAATGTATTAGTACTTTTTATTTAATACTGTTTGATTTGAATGATTTTTTTACCAAAAGAATAAAAAATAAATAAATACTGTTTGTTTTAAATAAATATAATGATATTAAGATGATTTGTTAGAAAGATATTTACCATTTTCATAGAAGAAAGAAGCAAGGGCAGAGCAACCAGGACCTCCAACAAGCCAAAGTAGGAGTGGATCATTCATGGGATTCCTTTCAGATTCAACAAAATAATAAAATAGTTGCACCTCTTCTCTTTCACCCACTCCTACGTACCTTCATTATATGTTGTATGTCAGTGTCACTGAGCAAGCACAGTTTAATCATTATTACTAGCCACTCTCATGCCTTCATCAATTTGTAAGTAATATTAACTCACCCGGTTTCCAACATGAATGGAAGTTTCCCAAAACCTGGTAGATTATCGACCATGAAATTTGAAGACGTGATGTGCAACAAATGAAGTGCAGTAACCAAAACACACCATGACTTCCAAACGCTAGCCATTGTGTTGTGCACACTATATGACACTAGAAGTAATGGAACAACTTAATATAAAGGTGGCAATGTTCGGCTAAGATCAAGATCCGTAAACTTGGGTACTAACTATTAGAACACTTGATCACTACGTTAAATCTCTTGATTGGAGATTTGAATTCAATTAGTGTTTGGAGATCTGTGCTGCCCATTAATGGCTTGGAGTGAGTAAAAAGGGTCAACATGAGTTGAACATACAAGATTGTTTGTCCCTCAAGTAATATTGGATAAATTAAATTCCTTTATCTTTAGGAACGTTGTACAACAAAAATTATTATTTTATAGGACCGTTATCATTATTTAATTCATTTAAAAAAATAATTCAGTTTAAAGGATCGTTATGTAATTGTCACATTGCTGAACAAGATAGCCAAGCTATGAATTTAAATAGCCAAACTCTATTTTAGCAACGAGATTTTTGCATGATATATTTCAGGAAAGAGCTTACAAGCTGTCTGATAAATCTTTAATTTATCTTGTTTTATAGACTAAAATTACATGAATTATCAAGTTAAATAACTTAAATCTAGGGTTTATTGACACAAAAACATGAACTTTATGAATTATGGATTAAATAATATATATTTGCTTATTTTGAAGGTATTTGATGATAATTGGGAGCAACTATGAAGATTGGAGAGATGGAGATCAAGAATTTAAGATATTAAGATCTTATTTGAAGAAAAAGAAAGAAAATTAAATTCTTGAAGATGAGGCTCAAGCCTCTAATCTAGGGCTTAAGCCCCCAAATACTCCAAAAATTGCAAAAAGTCACTGCCTCAGGGTGCTTAAGCCCCCAAATTCAGGCTTAAGCGTCCTCATACAAATCTGCACTACTGTCCCAAGAGGCTTAAGCTCTCAAATCAGGCTTAAGCGCCCATCAGCGAGCTTAAGCCCCCAAATTCAAGCTTAAGCGCCCCGAAAGACCCAACTTAGGCCCACTTGAAGTGTCCACCTAGGGCACAAATTCTTTGCCCTTAAAAACATAATTTGGGGCAGAATTACATACTTTTTGACATTCTTTGATCATTCTTGGTACTCGAAGGCAGAGGGGATGCGAAGATTTCATCAGTTCATGTTCGTGAGAGGCGGAGACAGATCAGAATCAAGTCTGCACTGGAGTTATTGAAGAATTCCCATTCTAATATGGAATTTGGGGGAGCTTTCTTAATTCTTTTCTTTCTTGATTTTGCTATGTCTGGCTAAATTCTGAAGTAGTTAGGGTTAGATGAAATTCACTTAATCATTTATGTCTTGAACAATTCTTTATGTTAATTTTCCTTTTTATCATGAATGAAATTATCTTTTCTTAATGCTTTATATGAGCTTGAATCTTATATATTGATCTTAGGTAAATGCATGACAATAGGAATGTTGGTGCATGATCTGTATCTGATAATTTCATCGTAATCCTTATGATTCTACGGATAGACATAGGGTTTGCGTAAACTTTAGATTCTTGAATTTAATGCTTATTTTCGTGTGGAATAACCGGGGAACTAGGGTTCTTGCAAGATGGTAAAGACTTAGGGTAACAAGGGATTGAGCCCTAATTACATTAGAAAGAATCGATTAGATTGATATTAAGAACGATTAACTTAAAGAAGGAATTCAAACATAATAAGGAGATTGAAGGAAATCAGAAAACACTAGCTACGTTTCTTTTCTATTTAGTAATCAAATATTTAAATTCTTGCTTTTATTCTTGCTATTAACTAGTTTTAATATTTAAATTTCAATTCAAATCCTGTTACAAATCAAATTTCGATTGTCCAACTTAAGTTGAAGTAGTAAATTAGTGATTGAATATAATCCTCGTGGGAACGATCTCTTACTTAAAAATTATATTACTTAAACATTATATTACTTAATCAATAGGAAATAGATCTTAATTATTTATGTGTTATATAGCATCATCATATATCACGTGAGAAAATCTTAATTTTTATGGGCAAATTGTAAGAACCCGCACCGTTAATTAAGGAAGTTAATTAATTAATTATGAGAAATTAGGAAATAATTCCATAATTGACCATAATAATTATTATAAGGCTTAAATAATTATGGTAAGTGATTAATAATGCTGATAGTCGCTTTCTGACGAAAAGTGCAGATACCGGTTCTGCTCCACGGTATAAGTGCGTACCGATGAAGTATCCCGAAAAATTATAATAAGTGCATAAATAGTCCTAGAATAATATGTAGGACTTTGATTTCAAGTTTCAAGTCAAAATAATGAGAATGGTGCCAGAACTGATACTAGCTATGTAAAAGCGCGTACCGGAAAGGTGCTACGAAAAATTAAATAAAAATATGACAAATCTTAGAAAAATGATTAGGTTCAGAATCCCAAGTTTGAGATTAAAATGCTAAGCGTAGGTATTATTGTTAATACTGTGTGTCTTAACTTAAGTGGGCTATAAATAACCTTGGGCTCTTAACCCTAGGCCATATTGAGGCTGCCTACGTGAAGATTTCTGAGTATTCTTCAGTTGCCACCTTTCCTCTACTCTTCCATAGCCCTTTTCTTCACAAACTCCACCAAAGTGACCACCTTTGTGCATTGTTCCTTCATCAAAGTGGTTTAGGTGAGTGAGAGCAAGGCTTGTGTGAGTCAAAGGTCCCTGTTTGCTGAGTTTGTTTCTGCCTTGGTGTGGTTAGTGTGGGCTGAGTTGGTGGTTCTCTTGGAGGAAGCCACTTTTTTGTCTTTGGAGGCTTCAAGAAGCCACCTTTGAGTGTAAAGGACCCACCTTGTGTTGCATTTTCGTGGTTCCTTAAAGTCTGAACTTGGGGAGCTGTTGGGAGAGTTCCAAGAGCCATTGTTGCTCTGTTTTAAGCTTGAGTAAGCTTCATCACCTTGATCATGGGTTTTAGTTGCTTAAAAATGGAGTCTTGGCATGTTTAAGGAGTTGTTTAAGTAACCAACCAGTATATGAACCTAAATGGACTTAAAGATGCATGCTTTAACGTATTGAAGTGTTAAAAATGGAACCTTGGGTGTGATATCTCGTGAAATGCAGAAACTGTATTCTGTCGCGAAATATCCGGATATGATATCCGGATATTGATATCTGAATATGGGTCCTGAGATATCCGAATATGGATATCCAGATAGGATACCCGGATATAACCCCGACATATATCCGAATATTTTGGGTTTTCGAGGACAGTAAGGGTACTGTTCATACAGAATGTTGTTTTGGATTTGTGGACCCATGTTTGGCTACTCCGTAATAACTATTTTAAGTCAGAATCAAAATGATTAAGGGCTTATGGCTTTGTGAGAAGCCTAAAGACATGAAACGTAAAGAAAAGGCGTTGTCTTTATGTTATACGCTTGTTGTGTTAAATATTGATATGATTGCTGGTCCAAAACAGATTGTGATTCTGCTGTGTGTGGACTTTGAACTTGTGTGGACTCTTGGCTTGGATAGTTAGCTTGCAAGGTAAGCTTTCGTGTCCTCGGTTTAGCCATTGTTAGTTCCACCATGTCCAATGGGGGGATGGTTATATGCATGATGTGTTTTCATGTAATGTTTTATTGAGATGCTATTGAGCTGTTAAGTGCAAATGCCTATGATATGTATGTGGTGTTCGTCTAGACGAGATTAAGTTCCTGTGGGCAGGTACGACATGGGCGCGTACTGTGTGGGTAATAGACGTATTCCTGCACCTCTCTGGCTAGTATATTAGTTATAACACACATGACATGATTATCTGCTGCATTGCACTGTTTTGGAACTTATACTGTTTAACTGCTTTTGGAACTTATATTACACATGTAAGTGAGCTTGAGGTGGAAGATCATTGAGGAACCCTTGTCTTACTGAGATTTCTGTTTAGAGATCTCACCCCATGTTTGGGGCACTTATTTCAGGTTCAGGTAACCCAGAGGTTGAGACCTCTAGCGGCAGGAGGCCGGAGCTTAGCTGATATTTTCGCTTATGCTGATTATGTTTGGATGCTGGATTATGTTTGTTGCGGTTATCCTATTAGTTTCATGTTATGTGTAAGAACTTGTACCGTTAATTAAGGAAATTAATTAAATAAATATGAGAATTATGAAATAATTTCATAATTGACCCTAATAATTATGATAAGGCTTGAATAATTATAGAAAGTAATTAATAATGTTGAAAGTCGCTTTTCGGATGAAAAGTGCAAATACCGAATCTGCTACTCGCTATAAATGCGTACCGATGAAGTATCCCGAAAAATTACAAAAAGTATGTATATGTCATTAGAATAATATATAGGACTTGTAAAACAAATTTCAGCTCAAAATAATGAGAACTGGTACCAGAACTGATACTGGCTTTGTAAAATGCGCGTACCGTAAAGTTGCTACGAAAAATAAAATAAAAATATGATAAATCTTAGAAAAATGAGTAGGTTCAGAATCCTAAGTTTGGGATTAAAATGCTAAGCTTAGCTATTAACGCTAATACAGTGCGATTAAAACTTAAGTGGGCTATATATACCCATTTGGCCCAAAACCCTAGGCCATATTGTGCCTCCTACATGACTTGTGCTTCAGAATTCTGAGTGTCACCCTTGCCACCCTCTTCTTCCTCCATAGAAACCTCCAAGAGAGCATTTTTCTTCTTGTTCTTTCACCTACATACCTTGAATAAGTGAGAGCAAGCCTTGGGTGCATGTGAGGCTACTTCATTTCTGAGTTTTAGCTACTGAGTGTGAGGTGTGGGGGCTGACTTTGTGGTTGGAGTTGTGAGAGCCTTTGAGATAGCATTTTGGGCTTCAAGGAATGATCTTTGAAGAGAAAGAACCCTTCTTGGTGTGTTATTTTTGTGCACATTGAAGTCAGAACCTTGGGAGCTTCATAGAGAGCTCCAAGAACATCCCTCTTTGCTGTTTTGAAGCTTTGGGTATAAATCTCAACTTTTCTCTTTGAGTTTCTTTGAAAAGAATGGATTTTTAACTTGTTAAATGAAACGAATAAGTAAACTTGA